CCCCTCCGGCTCCACCCCCGCCCCTCGGCTCCTCAGCCCCGAGGCTGCCCCCACCCCTTTCGGGGGACCCGGCGCCCCCTTTTTTCCCCCAGACCCCCGGCTCCAGAGAGAACTCCTTAGAGGGGGGTGCCGGGGGGGGGGGGGGGGGTGGGGGAGGGCTGGGAAGTTGATCCGTTATTTCTCCCAGCCTAAAGCAGCTGCCTTTAGGGGGAGGGGAGATGACAAGGCGAGGGCAAGGTTACCGTCGGGGTCATCCCAGCCAGTCCCCCGGCCTCAGATCTCCTCACGATGCGCGCCCCTGAGGGAGTGTACGATGTCACTTGGGGATAAAGAAGGTGAAACACTCCCTAAGGCCTAGGAAGAAAGGGGAAGGGACCCCAAAAAGACCAAACGCAGGACCTGGGGAAAGAAAACAGGAGAGGGAGGGGGTCGCCCCCAAACGGCCGGAGCGCCCCAAGGAGCCTGGAGGCCCGCTTTCAGGAGAGACCACAGGGTGGCGCTAGAGGCGCGCGCGCAGAGTGCGCTCCGCGGGGCCGGGGGCGCGGTCTGCAGCCCCCCAGAGCTGCGCCCCAGGCCCCAGCGGCGGCCCCTGACCCCGGCCGGCCAGCGCCGGGCCCCAGGCCGGGTGGGGCCCCGCCGGGCTGGGCTGGCATCGATCGCCGCCCTGACAAGAGCATCGATTTCTGCGCGGAGAAATTAATAGATCTTCTCTTAGCTCCTCGGACCCGGGAGCCGCCCGCGGGTGGAGCTGGGGACCCTTCGGTCCTAGGAGGTCGCGCACCCGGAAAGCCCCGGGATCCCCAGCCCCTCCCACCCCGGTGGCCGCCGGAACCTGCCCGTCTCAAGCCGGGGAGGAGGCAGTAGAGGGCGAGGGAGAGGGTCCGGGAGGAGGGGTTCGGCCGGGAGGGCAGGCGAGGGCCGCAGGGAGCGCGCCAACCAAACCCACCTAGAGGGGTCGCCAGGCCCTCAGCGCAGACCGTGCCCCAGCCCCGGGACGGGGACAGACCGACCGACCGACCGACCGACCGACCGGCGGCCCGCTTTGGGAAGGCGACCGGACAGAGGTGGGCCCCCAGGATCTGGGTCGGAACCGAGGGACTTGGCTGGGACGGATCCTCGCGCGAAAGCGGAGGCGGCGGCCCCCCAGGGGGCGGCGAGGGCCTCGGAGAGGCGAACAGCTTGAATGTTCAGCACACGGTTCGCGTTCCCGCCAGGTTCCAGCAGGCTCGCCCGGCCGGCCGGGTCGTGGCCGCCAGAAGTCGCCCAGCAGGTGTCAGGGCGGCAGAACTTACCCCCGCCCCCCACCCCAACTCCAGCCGGCACACGCGGCCCCACGTGAGTGAGTCCGCAGGGGCGATGGGCGAGCTCGTTCCTACCATCCCCCTGTATTTGGCCTTATTTCCCCAACAGACCTGTCCCCCCTCAGTTGTCAGGCTAAATATTTTGGCTTGGCGGGAAGGGCGGAGAGAGCCCGGAGGTCCCAGCAAGCCAATCCGTTGCGCCCCGGGGCGCGGAGGGCGGGAGCTGGGCGCGGCCCCGAAGCGCCCGGTGATACCGCGGCCCCCGTGCGGCCCCCCCGACGCTCGCTCGGCGCCCAGCCGCCCAGCCGCCCAGCGGGGTCCCGGACTTTTCTCCCGGGCGAGTCCGCGCCGCTCTCGTGGGCGGGCTCCCCGGGCCTCCTCGCCGCGCCGGCTCCGGGTTGGCAGGCCTCGCGGACTGCCTTTTGCTCTGCACCCTGCCTGACTCTCCCTCTCCGAGGCCTCTCTGAGCCTCCTCTGATGCTTTCTGCATCTCTGCCCTCACCATTCTGCCTCTGGGTTCAGACCGAGTCTGTCTCCAGCTGCCTGTCACTGTCTTCGTGTCTCTGTGGCTCTCATTCCCTTTTTCCCTCTGAGATTCCCCCCCACCCCCCCCACCGTCCCCTCCCCTCTGAAGCCTGCATCTCTGTGTCCCTTAGGTCCTGCCAGACCCTGCTCCTCCCCGAGCCAGCTGCAGAAGCCAGGAGTGGGCACGAGGCAGGCCTGGGACGATGGCAGCGCCCAGCCTGTGCCCGGGGGTCGCATGCCTGCTTGCGATCCATCTCTCCTTGGGATTCGGCCTGGACACACTAGAGGGTGAGTCCCCCAGCGCTGCCTCCTGGAGCCCCATCTCCCCCCTCCCACACCCCCCAGCCAGCTGGGAGGCCAAACATCTGTTTACCTAGGGCATGAAGACGGGGG